CCTTGAGGACCAATTCACAGTACACCACCAAACCAGAAACCTCCAGCTTTTGGCAGTTCAGAATGAAGTCTTTTAAACTCTATTTAAATCCTTTTTGTAAAAGTGATCAAATTGGGGACCTAGAGCAGCTATAAAAATCCCGAGTTGGCTTTCAGATTGTGGTTTTTACTCCAGGTTGGGATATTAAAATAGGAACTTTATTTTTGCATTGTTAATGTTGGTTTGGACAAGTTTTCTGAAGCTCCTTAATGCTAAGAGAACACGCGCACTGGTCCAAGACCTGTACAAAAGCCTGTATGTATCTCCTGGCGTGTTTGTGTTGCCTGATGCCCCAGATTGAGCCATTACCCCATAAACTGGTGATGTGTCATGTCTGCCGAGGACCGTTTTCATAGTAACATGGTGAAGGCAGAAACCTACCTCTGAAGAGGTGGGTCAGCATTTATGAGCAGTTACTGTTCTTGCAGTTATTTAAATCCCAGCACCTTCCTGGACCCTCTAGGGTTTCAGTGAGTGTTGCCGTCTTCTGGCTTCCATTAACATGCATGTGTGCTGCAACCACAGCCATTCACATGTTCTTACTCGTTTAGTTAAGATAGTATGAGTAACCTCCAGCCTTTGTATCCCACCTTTCTTTTTTTCCCCACTTTGTATTCCAGCTGTAGCCCCCTCATTCGCTAACAATCACCCTCATCTCCCATGCTCCTCTCCAAGTCTACTGATAGGGGAGGTCCTTCCCTTCCATCTGACCCTAGCCTATCAGGTATTATCGGGACTGGCTGCATTGTCATCCCCTGGACTGGTCAGGCTGCTCCCCCCTTGGGGAGTTATCAAAGAGCCAGCCACTTGAGTTCATGTCAAGATAGTCCCTGTTCACTTTACTAGGGTACCCACTTGGAGACCGAGCTGCTGTGGGCTACGTATGAGCAGGGGTTCTAGGTTATATCCATGAATGGTCCTTGATTGGAGAATCAGTCTCAGGAAAGACCTCTGGGCCCAGATTTTTTGGTTTTGTTGCTCATCTTATGAAGCTCCTGTCCTCTCCACGTCTAGCTCCGTCTTATTTCATAAGATTCCCTGCACTCTGCCCAAAGTTTGGTTGAGCCTCAGCACCTGCTTTGATAGACTGCTAGGTAGAGTCTTTCAGAGGCCCTCTGTCGTAGGCTCCTATCCTGTTTCCTGTTTCCTCCCTCTTAGAATGTCCGTCCCATTTGCCTTTCTGAGTGAGGATTGATCATCTTACCCAGGGTCCTCCTTTTTGCTTAGCTTCTTTAGGTGTACAGATTTTAATATGTTTATCCTATATAATATTTAATATTCACTTATAAGTGAATATATACCATGTGTGTCTTTCTACTGGGATAACTCACTCAGGATAATCTTTTCTATATTCCACCATTTGCCTGCAAATTTGATGATTTCCTTGTTTGTAATTGCTGAGTAGTATTCCATTGTGTAAATGTACCACACTTCTGTATCCAAATACTTCTGGTTCTTAAAAGGAGAGACTGAAGAGATTTCTGGGTGGTTTAGAGCACTTAATGCTGTTGCAGAGGACCTGGGTTCTGTTCCAGTTACCTACATGGTACAGATATTTTCAGGCAAACACTCATGCACAAAAGTTTTAAAAAGCAAAATAACATTGTTCTGACTTGTTTTGAGACATATTCTAGCTGTGTGGCTCAGGCTAATTGGAACTTGAAATAGAGAACCCTTTCCTCCCCTCCCCCCATCCCCTCCCCAACCTCCCCAGTACTAAGATTCTGTGTGTTCCCCTGTGGGTGGCTATGTAAATAAAGTGTTTTGTTTTTCTCAAGGTTGCTCTGTTTTAGCCCTGGCTGTCCTGGAACTCAGAGATCCGCCTGCCTCTGCCTCACCACCACCCAGCTAAAGTTTTTTGGTTTGGTTGTTTGCTTTTAGTAAATTATTCACTTTACATCCCGGTAACAGCTCCCTCCCAGTCGCTCCTCTCTCCCTTTCCCCCTCCCTTTACAAACCCACCATGTTGCATCAGGACTTTGTATATCCTCTTCTTTTGAGGCCAGGCAAGGCAGCCCAGCTAGGGGAAAGTGATCGAAAAGCAGGCAACCATGTCCATGTCAGATATAACCCACTCTCCCCACATGAGGACCGAACTGCTGTGGGCATAGGTCCAGTACATGCATGATCTTCGGTGTTTCGGTCTCTGTATGCCCCTTTGGGCCTAGGTTAATTGACACTAGTGGTCTTTTAAGGGTTTTTGTCCCCTCCCATACCTCTGTTCGCCTAATGTTTGGCTGTGGGTCTCAACATCTTTCTGCTACTGGTTGCAGCCTCAGGACAGTCATGCGAGGCTCCTGCCTGCAAGCATAGCAGAGTGTCATTAATAGTGTTAGGAGCTGACTTTCTCCTGTGGGGTCTCAGGTTGGGCATCATTGGTTGGACATTCTTTTTCTGTTCCACCTTTATCCCTGCACTCCTGTAGGCAGGATAGATTTTGGGTTGTAATTTTTGTGGGTGGATTGGTGTCCCCTCCCTCTGCTGAAAGTCCTGCCTGGCTAGGAAGTGGCCCCTTAAGTCTCCATGTCATCCCCCCATCCATTTTCCACACACTCCGCTGCTAGGAGTCTCAGCTAGAGTCACCCCATATCCTCCCAGGAGCCCACTCTCTTCCCTGTTTCCCTTCTCTCCCAGCCCCCACATCTGACCCTCCCCCTCCTCCCCCTCTCTGTACTCCCTCCCACTGAGTTCCCCCTCTTCATTCACTTTTGACAACCATTCTATTTCCCTTTCTGAATGGGATTTAAGTATCCTCCCTTGGGTCCTCCGTGTTACTTGGCTTCTTTGGGTCTGTGAATTGTATTATGTCTATCCTATACTATATGACTAATATCCACTTATAAGTGAGTACATACCATGTGTGTCTTTCTGAGTCTGGGTTAGCTCACTCAAGATGATCTTTTCTAGTTCCATTATTTACCTCCAAATTACATGATTTCCTTGTTTCTAGTAGCTGAGTAGTATTCCATTGTGTAAATGTACCACATTTTCTTTATCCACTTTTTGGTTGAGGGGCATCTAGGTTATTTTCCAGTTTCTGGCTATTACAAAAGTTGTTATGAGCATAGCTGAGCAAATGTCCTTGTTGTATGGTGGAGCATCTTTTGGGTATATGCCCAGGAGTGATATAGCTGGGTCTTTAGGTAGAAGTATTACCAGTTTTCTGAGAAAGCATCAGATTGGTTTCCATAATGGCTGTACAAGTTTACACACCCACCAACAGTGAAGGAGTGTTCCTCTTTATCCACATCCTTGCCAGCATGTGCAGTCACTTGGTATTTTGATCTTAACCATTCTGAGAGGTGTGAGATGGAATTTCAGAGTCATTTTGATTTGCATTTCCATGATGACTTAGGACATTGAACATTTAAGTGCCTCTCAGCCATTAGAGATTCTTCTGTTGAGAATTCATTTTAGCTCTGATTTTAATGAAATTGCTTTAAATTTCTGTTTAATTTGATGTTGGCTATTGGCTTGCTGAGTATTGTCTTTATTGTGTGGAGGTATCCCTGATCTCTCTGAGACTTCTAACATGAATGGGTGTTGGATTTTATCAAATGCTTTTTCAGCATCTAATGAGATTGTGGTTTTGTGTGTGTGTGTGTGTGTGTGTGTGTGTTTTGTTATTGTTTTTTTTTTCAGTTTGTTTATATGGTAAATTACATTGATGGATTTTTGTATGTTGAACTACCTCTGCATCCGTGGGATGAAGCCTACTTAATCATAGTGGATGATGTTTTTGATATATTCTTGGGTTCAGTTTGTGAGTATTTTATTGAGTATTTTTGCATAAATGTTCATGAGAGAGATTGGTCTGAAACTCTCTGTTGGGTCTTTGTGTGGTTTAGCTATCAAGGTGACTGTGGCCTCATAGAATGAGTTTGGCAATGTTCCTTCTGTTTTTATTTTGTGGAATAGTTTGAGGAGTATTGGTTTTAGCACTTCTTTGAAAGTCTGGTAGAATTCTGTGCTAAAACCATCTAGCCCAAGGCCTTTTTTGGTTCGGAGACTTTTAATGACTGTATCTTCTTTAGGCATTATAGGTCTATTTAAGTTGTTCACCTGCTCTTAATTTAAAGTTCGTAGGTGGTACCTTTCAAGAAAATCATCCATTCCAGCTAGACTTGCTAATGTTGTGGAGTACAGGTTTTTGAAGTAAGACCTAATGATTCCTTGGATTTCATCAGTATCTGTTGTTATGTCCTCCTTTTCCTTTCTGATTTTGTTTATTTGGATACTGTCTCTCTGCCTTTTGGTTAGTTTGGCTAACGGTCAATCTTGTTGATTTTCTCAAAGAACCAGCTCTTGATTTTGTTGATTCTTTGTATTATTCTCTTTGTTTTAATTTATTGATTTCAGCCCTGAGTTTGGTTATTTCCTGTCAACTACTCCTCTTGGGTGTGTTTGCTTGTTTTTCTTCTAGAAATTTCAGGTGTGCTTTTAAATTGTTATTATGGGATCTCTTTGCCAGCTACAGAGTTTAGATCTGAGGATTCTAATGAGAGAATAAATGCCAGAGCTCAGAGAGTGTGGGAGCATGGAGAAAGAACAAGGCTGCTCCTGCTTCCCCCTTGTTGTGAGACAAGTTGGAGATGTCCTGAAATGAGGATTGGACTCCCTCTAAGGAACCCAACTATCCTAACAAGCAGGAAGCAGCTAAGAGAACTGTGCCTCCTCTTCCACTAACCCTTTCTCTCTCCTACTTTGTGTTGGGGTATTGGAAGGAATTGTGGTGGAGTAGTGAGAAAAAGATAAATGTAAATAAAAGCGTTTTTTAATGTTTTTTTTTTTTTTTGTAAGTATGTCAACATAGTCTGTTGGTGATGCTTACCCTGCAGTTCCTCTTTTCTTCCCTAAGTTTTCTGTCTCCAGGGTTTCCTTTATTGCTTCTACTTCCATTTTCAGATCTTGGACAGTTTTATTCATTTCCTTCACCTGTTTAATTGTGT